ACTCGAAATTTCAATTTTTTTAATCGAATGAAAATAAAGTTTGTGGATTGAGAATTCACTCTAATCATTCATTTTGGTTTTACAAAGTGCCATCGATTCTCAAGAGATAATTACATTAATTTATTCTCGATATGCCATAGAATTTTCAGATCCTTCTTACTAATTACCTTTTTAATGGACGTTCCTCATTTTCTTTCTTTTTTTCTTTCCCTATCAGCTTTCGATCACGACACTCAACGAAATTCTAAAACGAACAAAACGACCATCATCTGAATTCTTCTTTTGCCTCCCTTTACAGCGACGATCGAAGAGTTCGAGAGTCGACGGTTTAAAAGCATAATACATTATTAACAGTTTCTACGGTCGACTTATCGACAAAATCGAGGGAAAAAGAAAAGAAAAGAAAAGAATAAAAAAGAAAAGAAAGAAAAGAAAAAGAAAAAGAAAAAAAAAAGGAAGCAAAGTTATCGTGAGCAGAGCAAAAACGATCAATCGTTGATAATTACGACTTGTTAACGAAACGAGAAGTCTGCTCGAGTTATTAAAATACTACCAATGGAACTTTTTCAAGAGTTACAACTTATGAAAAGAGTTGACGTTGATTTTATATCGAAATAACTTTATCATTAAGAGATTTAAAAATGAAATTATTATATAGATAAATAAAGCAACGTAGTAAAATGTATATTTGTAGAAGTCAATAATCAAAGTTCGACATAAAAGTGATATATGAAAAGATATAACGTTAAATTAAAAAAAAAAAAAAAAAAAAAACGATTATATCCTTCGAGTAGATCATCCAAGCAGAGGAGAGGCAAAAGTGGAGCGTGAGAGGGTATGTAGGACGCAGCGAAATGCAAAGTGAAGAAAAAGAGAGGAAGAAAGGGCAGAAAAGGTAAAGGCGTACATCAAAACGTGGCAACCCTTCGGAATGTCTAATGAAGCGTGTGAACTTCAACCCGTTTCGCGTGTAACCTAATTAAGTCCGGAACGCGCATGCAAATTTTCGCTCAGTGGGACGTGCATAGGTAACCCTGTAGTGCGCACTTTTTTTCCCTCTCTTTCCTTTCACTATCTAAATCGACATTTTGTATCCATGCATTACAACTTTTCTCAAACCGAACACACTCCTTTTTGGTAGATACGAACGTTAATTAATCGATAAGCTCGATATCAGTCATTTATGCACGAATATAATTCATTATCAATATATTCCAATCCTTTTCTTCTTTTATCTATTCTCTGTAATTATAGCTGATATTACTCTTCCTTGTTAAAAAAAAAAAAAAAAAAAAAAAAACATTTTAAATAATCGATAATAAAATATATGTGGAAAATGGAATGCCCCTTCGTTAATGATAATTTATTAATGGAATTTCCTCGATGTTGATACGGTGTATCGATGGCAACAGTGCAACCTGCATGCTTCAGGATACGACTGAATGCATCGTGTATCAATAATGCTATCGTACGTTCGATGAGGGATGAATATCTATTGATTGGCTTTGGCAACCCTTCAGTATATCGCGCCCATATACCATACCTGCTGCAACCCCAAACACATCCGGACTACCTGCAACTTGTACGTGGCAAATCGTCGTGTTTTCAATGCCACGTGCCAAGGAGCAGGTACATCGACCGATACCCGACCCAACTCGACGTTCTTTATATTTTTCGATTATCGATACGAATTGATCGGTGTATCTGACTCTCGTGAAAAATGTCCGTATTTTAGTGGCCATATTTTTCGGATGAACAAGGTATACCCATCATTGGCCATTACCAGTTTTAAACGATTCTCATTAACCGCTCCTATATTTACTGCTCTAAATGATCATAATGATAGAAAATTACAGGAAAAAACACTTCAAATGAATACTTTCAAGAAGATTCATCAACTAATTATTTTTATCTTTATATATAACCAACTAAACGAAGACTTCTTATAAATTCACATCATTAACGTCATTTTCATTATGATTTTTGTTATTATTAAAATTAAAAAAGACTATCTATTAATTATCATAATATTTGATACATTTTCTAAAAATAAAGTTTCGACGTGATATCGAATAAAGTATATTCTATATCAAGAAAAATTCATGGAAGAGTTACATTCTCACGAGATATAAGAAATATTTTCGTTATGTTCATATAAATTATGTATGATAACGAAATGTGGTATCGTTAAAATTTCAAAAGTCTAACTCCCATTGTATCTATCGTCTCGTTCCAACGAGCACCCTTTACTTTAAATTAGTAACTCGATATCGGTGCATTGTCCTTGCATTGTCATCGTGTATATATCGAGAAGTATGCACAGTTACGATATAAAAGAAGACCTAGCATAGTGGATGAGAGAAAACGATACGTTTTCAATACAGGAATATCTTGTTAATGCTTCGTTCGAACCTTTTCATACAACGGGTGTTTACTTTTTCGTCAGTAGAACTTCGCATCGCTTTAAACGATTCCTGGGTGAGAGCCGTAAAGCTAACAAACCGCAAGATATTATTACCTTACCTTTTTTAAATTCATCCATAATACAATAAATCATTTGAATTCTAAAACATTTCGTTCTTTTACAAATACCTGGCTTCGACTGTTTAGGTGAAAAAAAATAATATTCGTAGTTAAAAAAAAAAAAGGAAAAAAAAAGAAAAAGAAAAAAAATTCGATAGATTCAATATTAATCATTCGATCGAAACAAAAATTTCTCAAAGCTAAATTCAAACGAAAATTCGAAGCAACGAGAACCCCCTTAAGCAAATCGTGAGAGAAATGGAAGGTGCTCCCCTAGCATATCCGGATACGTTCCTATCCTGTCAGTCGTATGTCAACCCTCGTTGTTTTTTTGCCGCGCTCTCAATAATTGATCATCTGATTACGATACATTATACCCTCCTTTTTCTACGTTACCACGCCGTCGTAGAGTATTATTCCTGCGCCAAGAGAAAAAAAGAGAAAGTGAAAGAGAGAGAGAGAGAGAGAGAGAGAGAGAGAGAGAGAGAGACAGACGGATTGTCGGAGGAAAGGAAAGGGAGAGAAACTTTTTCTTCCGTCTCTCAACGAGGGACGCCATTTGCATATAGGTCCCCTTATCGACAAATACACAGGGGGCGCCCTTCCTAATGAGGGCCCCCTCCTCTTTCCTGCCGTTCTCCTTCCTTTATTTTTTCAACGTGGCCCGCCATTGTTCGTAATTCATTCGCCGAACGACATGGACCAACTTTGTCTCTCTTTCTCTCATCTAATTCTCTCTCTTTGTCTCTCTTTCTTTTCCCCTCTCTCTTTCTTTCTTACGAATGCTTATGCATGAGTCTATAGAATATATACATTTTTCTACTCGGTATTCGTTGTTTAATAACGTACCAAAAAAAAAATATAAATAAACAAAAAAAGAAAAGAAAAAGTTGAAAGAGAACGACAGAACCGGTTAGAGTACGAAAATTATGAATTACGATGTCGAGATTTGTTAAGGCAAATGCATTAAAGAGATTCCACCGTGACATCTGCCTTTCAGGCAAAAGGGCAAAAAAATTTTAACCGTTTGGTATCTTCCTATCTTTCTATGGGCTAATATTTAATTTGTATTAAAAACACATGAACAATGAGAAAAATATTTTTCAATATGATCTTCAATTATTATCGATGACTCGACCTAATTTTGATCAATTCGTTAAATAAGGAATTTCCAAGTATCGTTATTTCAGGTATAACTATCAGATATAATTGGAGCCCCATAACGAGCCGATATAAACGATTTTGATTTCCTAAAAAGGATCTTCAAAAATGAGTAGTTATTTTTCCTGCGACAAGGTGCATGGGTAGCAAACGGCACGGAACGTCTCAAAAATAACAGGTCAAATAAGAGCCGAGACCGGTTTCCTATCCCTAAGAGCGATCGTTACTAAGTTCGTTGCACAACTGTTAGAATAATCTGTGGTGAGAATCGTGAGTCGTGATCCATATACATACAATATACACGTAGGCATATCCATACGTCCAGTCCGAAGTCGAAGGCAGGTGCTCTCTCTCTCCGAAGAGAATAATTAATATTCAGCGAAGGAAAAGAGGGCAAAGAGAGACAACGATGGTCGGTCGGTCCTTTTATAAACAGTTAACGCGTTAGCGAGTGAAGACCGCTGTGCTTCTACGATGGCACCTGGTTCTTTTTTTTCCTTAATTCGATATTTCGAGTATTTCGAATCCAATTATTTCAATTATATCGGTGTTGATAAATGTCACAAGATCGTCAAAAAATTTTTTTTCTTTAATTGATCGAATCAGTTTCACTAGTCAGTCTTCGAATCTTATATATTCCCATTGAAATTAATCTTATTTAACGACTTTTTTAATAACTTATATATATATATATATTATATTATTTATGGCTACCAAATAACATAACTCGATCATTACTATGAATATTTTTCTTGTTAGTGGGGCAATATAAATGCACGGAAGTATACCCACAGCTGCAGAGAGAACATGGAAAAGTTGTAATCAGATAAAGATAAAAGCGGAGGGTGGTATAAGTACGTAAAAGAGAGACTGAAAGAGGAAAAGAGAAAGTGATAACGTTGGGAGAGAGGGAAGAGGAACGATACAAATTACAAGCACCCGGAACTGGTTTCGTGTTTGTGTTAAATTTGGTCGCGTGCTTTCAGGAAATGCTTCACGAGACTTTTGCAGTCTTGTGTTATCGTTCAAGCATTATAAACTTTACATCGTTCTTTCTCTCTCTCTCTCTCTCTCTCTCTCTCTCTCTCTCTCTTTCTTTCTCTCTCTATCTATCTCCTTCTGTTCCCCCTTATATTGTATAAGCCACTATATTAATGACACAATGATGACGTTTCCAAGCTGGCATTGTACGATATCGCTATATTATTAAAAAAAAAAAAGCACAAATTTAAGTACGCTTAATTATATTCACTTAAATATAATGAAGTTTATTCTATTTATTTAATTACATTACATTTTGTTATCTTTCATTACAGATATGAAGCTGTAGAAACTATTGTCTGTGAATTAACAACCGTATACAAGGAGAAGGATATCGATTGGAGACTCATACATGAAGCTGGTTGCACTAGAGATGACACCGATCTACCGGATCACGTTACCAATCCGACCGATCTCGAACGTCTAATAAGCGGGACATTCGCATTATTTTTATCCGCTTTACCAGTGGAACCTACAATCGTTACTGTAGCCAGGTGAGATAACATTCGTACGTTCATAAGAATAAAACAAAATATCGATCTTCAGCCTTCGTGAAGAATAAAAACAATGGATTTTATTCGTTTATGCCAATGCAAGGAAATTCTTTATCTCGATTAGAAGTACTTTTCGAAAGATCCCTTAAAAAGTCCGACCGTCGAATATTTTTAAAGAGTGCCAAATTGAATTCCTCGCACCATACTTTCTACGTAGATTTCGACGTCGCAGATGGTACGAAAGAAGAATCTGGGAGGGTTAAAAAGAGAGAAAAAGGGAGGTTACGCAAGTGGTAGGTATAAAAGGGCCGTCCGAAGGGTGGGTACATAGACGTTAGACTACCATCAAGCCCCACCTTCTCCGTAGGAAGGGTGAGGCTTTCATAGGGGTGAACAAAATCAGATCTTAAACCTTACGGAATTGCTCAACAGATGTCTCTCTTCTCTGAATCGCTTTTGTAAATGTTAATTATACTTTCTCTAAACGAATCTAGATACTTCTTAATGATTTGAATATCTCGAAGAAGACACGTTTAGTATCTCAAAATAAATATAGTTTCTTTATATAATAATACATATATATATATATATATATATACTCGTTATTACACAGTTTTCCTTTTTGTACAATTGATTATAGTTAATCTTTATCTATTCTTTTTATAGATATTAAAAAATTAAAAAAATATATCTAATTAGTCAAACATAATTTGATGTTTATATCTATTTAAAAATTTTTCATCATCGCAGTAGAACTAAAATATATATATATATATATTTTATTAAAGTCGGAACAAAACGATTATGTTCGAAAAGTGAAATCAAGTAATAATAAGTTTGAAAATAATCTTGAATTGATACTTGGGTGCCATCTCGCGTCGAGATTAGGGAAATTCTATTCGGACTTCCGGCGGCGGTAGAAAAAAAAAATCGATTCACCCACTCGGCCCACTTCGAATCCCTCGCCCTTTTAACACTCCAGCTTCCGGGAGAGACGCGGAAACGCCGCCGGATGTCGCCTCTGGACAGCTCCAAGTTTCTCTCGCAATTTTGCCAAGGACCGATTAAACGAGACGAGAGACAAAAAAGTGAAAGTAAAAACAATGTAAAAGCACGAATGGTTTATTTTAACGAGCTGTACTAAGGTCTTCGTCGCTACGACAATTTTAATTCTTATTCACAACAGATTCATTTAAAGATCGTAATATTAAATAAGAAATTAAGAATTATTTTTTTTTTGCAAAGAAAAAAAATGATAAAAAAAGAAATAAATAAACTCAACGCTTGTTTCTTCTTTTTTTTTTTCCTTGATCTAAAAATCTTTATCGAAGATCTGAAAAATTAACAAAACCGTTCCATTTTATTTATAGATCTGCCGAAGATGATTATTGTCCAATGGAAGACGTCGACCTAATTCAAGCGAAAGTTATAGAACAACTTGATAAACGCTTAGAATCAAAAATGGACGTCCAATTAAACTATGGCGATATGATATGCTTAAACTAAATTACTATTGTCATACTCATTATAAACATTACTTTGTATCTTTTTTTTTTCTATTATACTTATGTCATAAATAAAAAATAAATTTTTCTTACGAGGAGTGAAAAATTAAAAAAAAAAAAAAAAAAAAAAAAATTAGAAAAAGATAAAAGAAAGAAGAAGAAGAAGAAGAAGAATCGTAGAGAAAAGAGATATGACCAATGCGCGAGCGTGCATGCAAACGACTCGGTTAAACGAAGAAGAAAGGTCGGAATTGGAAATTACGGAAGACAGCGTGCATCTGCAGGGCAAGCATCCGTGAGGAACGAGTCTTTGATCTCCAGCTCGATTTACATAAGATCGGTGCCACTGGCCCCATAATGGGAGCCGAGCACAATGCCAATGTGAATGTTGGCGTTTTTTGCATTGAGTTTCTCTCTCTCTCTCTCTTTTTCTCTCTCTCTTTCTTTCTCTCTCTCTGTCTCTTTCTCTCTCTTTCTCTCTCCATCTCTCTCATTCTCTTTCTCTTTACCCTTAGCCCTTCGCCCGCTTCACAACTCCTTGGATTTGCATACCGTGGGCCAGTTTCCCACACGTCGTTGACGACCTTCATCCTCTCCTCCTTCTTCTTCTTTGCCACGTTCTTCGCTCCCGTTCTCTCTCCCTTTCTTTTTCTTTCTCTCTTTCCCTCTCTCTCTCTCTCTCTCTCTCTCACTCTCTCTCTTTCTCTTTCTCTCTTGTCATCTAGCTACCCTTTCACCCGCCGACGACAAAAAGGAACGCGAGACGCAAAAAAAGGATAGACGTTTCCTTCTTCGTCAAGGCGATAGCATTTCCTGGCGAGACTTTTCTCAAGACGGCCGTACCACCTCGTCTTGCTTAGCACGTTCATTGTCGACGGACCGTACGAAGCTCGAAAACGCTGACGGATATATCTTTGTCTTCTCTCTCTTCTTTTTCTTTTTCTTTTTCTTTTTTTTTCATTTTTTTTTTTTGCGTTGGCCGTTCTGTGAGAACGGAAGCGGATATGAAAGAGTGCGTTGCGTTGCCTTGTGTCGTACTATTGGATCGCCAGAGCGTTTCCAAGTTCACAGCGAAAAAACTCGTTCTCTTTGAAGCTCGACTTTTGAAGGATTGGACAATCATCAATGTTACACGTTCTATAGGTACGACCTAACGTAGGTATTTCACCGAACTCCCTTTTCAATATTATTCGATCGTAACTTGTTCGTTTGTAAAGAGAAACGATCGAGAATATAGAACTAAGTCCACGTGTTACAAATCTTTTATTCTTCGTATGGTTAAGGACTTATAATATCGCTCGCATTCTCGAAGGAGATTTCGTTTTAAACGGGTAACAGTAGTATGCGGTTAAACGACGAGCGTACAATTACTTACAATTTTAGGACCGCCCGCTTTTCGCATGCCCCAAGGAGCAAGGCAATACCGAGTACAAATAAATGTTAAAACGAGCAAGGTGAATGCGGAAGTACGCTTGCAAGAGGAAGGGACGAATTTTGAAGGACCGCGAGAAAAGTTTACGAGCTGGCAGCCTCTGGTAATGACTGTCGTTAACCACCGCAAGGCGCACTCCACCGAGAGAGCGAATCTTTTGTATGCTAATGACAGGGTGGTCCAATTTCAGCCCCTCGAGTAAAAAAAAAGAAAAAAAGAAAAATCTTAGAGGTCAACAGACCCATCGTTCGTCCGAGTTTCGAGTCTTACTCGAGAACCATTGACCTCGTATTAAAACCCTTCGGCTTCGATACCGACAAACCACTACCGACAAGAAATTTATGTAGGAAATCATTGATGAGAAACCTTAGAGTCGATTCCTTCTCGGAAGCACGGTCTTCTTCCCTTTTATTCTTACAATCTTTGCTTCTCTTTCGAAAGAAAGTACACCTAAGATATTCACTTTCAATGATAAGATGGCTCAACTGTTAATGAGACGTTCACTTATAAAATGAAATCTAAATGGGGAAAAATCAATTGTTAAGATAATATACGTAACGCTTGGCACCATCGAGACCACAAACGAAAGTAAATATCGCTTTTCATCAGCCTTACTCTTCTTCGTTTTCATCGCCCTTACACGACCGTTCGAATTTCACTCACCCAACTAACACCGTTCGAATGGGTCGCAAAAGAATTATTCAAAACCAGGGCTGACTGGCAAAAGCGCAGCCTGCTACCCTGCTACCGTAATCCCATACCCGTATCCGATTTGCATAAAAGAGAAAAATAAAAAAAAAAAAAATGCTCGCTCTAGAGAAAAACAATAGTATGCGAGAGAGAGAGAGAGAGAGAGAGAGAGAAAGAGAGAAAGAGAGAAGGAAAGATGGTCACGCTCGTGATCTCGTTAACCTCGACGAAATTGTAGAAGAAATTGATATTAAATTTTGAATACAATGCGTCACAAGCATCATGTATATCTATGTACACATTATATACATACATATAATCTTAAACCTTTACTCTGAACCCTTTCGAAGCGCGAACTTTAGAATTATGCGCGTGACAAAAAAGATCTTGAAACGACTATGCTAATCAGCGAGACAGAAACGGATAGACGATGCCGTGATACGTCGTTGGTAAAAGCCAATTATACCGCGAAGACCCATTCGCGGCAGGTATTCCTTTCGGTTCATAGGCCTACCTTGATATACACAGTCCCGTCTCCCTGAGAAAATCGATATCGAGTAAAAAAGTAACACGGAAAGAACCAGATCGAGGACCCAACGAGATAGACAACGTTATAGGCGGAGACCTCGATGGCCATTGTTCGAAAGCGCTATTTGTATTTATTCGGAGCCTTTGTTCGAAGCACGGTTCGAAAAGCGGGGTTGTGGATGAGAATGAGAAAGAGAGAGAGAGAGAGAGAGAGAGAGAGAGAGAGAGAGAGAGAGAGAGAGGGAGAGGGAAGAATTACTTCGCCAGCTAAAGGGGTGAGTTCCATTAGTTGTTAGGAAACTGTCACCGAGCTTCGATCACCAAAAAAGAAAAAAAAAGAAAAAAGAAAGAAAGAAACGTGTGCCTTTCGATATCACGGAAAACCTTTAATCGAACAAGAAAGAAATTTTAAATGGATCGAGTGCATAGAAAATAAAAAAGAAAGAAAAGGCAAAAAAAAAGAAAAAACACGACGTGTCTTTAATTTTAAAATATTGTTTTTTTCTTTTTTCTTTTTTTTTTTTTTTTTTTTTTTTGAAGTTCGAAACGTGCGAAAGAATAATAATCGGTCGGCTTGAAGAGACACGTTCGACCATACATAAAAATCCAATTCCAGAAAGGTGTTCGCGTGCGATTTGGCCCCACCCCGACGGACCGACGATCGTGCACGCGCGCGTGTGTGAATGCACCTCATGCATTGGATGCAACTGCAAGTGGTCAGTAGCTCGCAAAACGACTGACCGCTCGGTACATTGCTTCCGCACATCTCGTCGATCTTCCAACATGAAATTCGCACGACACGCGTCCCGAATTTCTGATTACTTCTGATGTCCTACCGAGACGAGATATACTCGAAGTAACGCTGAAAATAATTTATTCGGTAACTCTGTTAAAGTACCAGTGAACATAAAGTGACTTTATTTCAGTGCTTTTAAAAATTAAGTGAACTCAATAAGGTTTTTCTTTTTCTTTTTTTTTTTTTGTGGATTATTTAATTAAAATCGAAAAGAACAGGTGAAATTAAATTGGACGTTGTGAATTTCGAATATTTTATAAATATCATAATTCCGTATAACGTATGAATGTAATATAAAACCATACGTATGATAACATTATAGGAAAATCCTGTGAGTGACAATTCTTCGGTGATAAAGTGAGTTTTAATAACGTACGAATAATAAAGAAACCATTGCAAAAAATATTAACGTTCATTCTCGTAAGTTTTAATACATCCTTTCCATCAATCTCAACTTTTTTCTTTCTCTGTCTCTCATCCTTTATTTTTTCGAAGGGGGGGGGGGAAAGAAAAAGAAAAAGAAAAAAAAAAGAAAAAAGAAAGGAAAAGAAAGAAAGAAAACCATTAATGAATGAAATGAAAGAAAGAAAAAAAAAGGAAGAAAAAGAAAAGAAAAAATAAAATCCATAAGAAAAAGTTTCTCTGGTGATGTACGGTGAAATAGCACGTTGATAAGAATGAAGATGGAAGAATACAAGGGGGTGGGGTGGGGTGTGGTGGGGTGGGAAGGAAGAAGGAAAGGGATGAAAAGGTCCGTGTCCTTATTAGATGCAGGGATACGTGTAATTCGTACGGCCGCGCCATATTTTATCATCGTTCCCAGTTACATTATATTTCAGGAAAATGGTCGGTGCACGCGTGACATTGCCGACGACGGGGAGGATGGTTTATCTCGAATATACAATCCTCGCGGCCCTACCAACGCGTGTTCGAGGGTGGTAGGAGGGATGGCTTGGGGTAGATGGAAAAAGAAGGGGAAGAGAAAAAGGGAGAAACAGAAAGAGAGAGAAAGAGAGAGAGAGAGAAAGAAAAAGATAGAGTAGAGGTCGACGAGGAGCCCTCGGTAACCAACGCCCACCGCCAACCACCCCCTACCCTTTAGCTTTTGCGACGTCTATGGAGGGGTGCTCGACTGAGAAGAGGGGTGGAGAAGGGAGAAGAGAGAGGGCTCGAAGGCAACCCTACACGAAGTGCGCGAACTAACGACGTTCTTTCGCTTTTCGCATGGAGCGAGACGGGGAGAAAAAAGCTAGGAGGAGGAGAAGGAGGAGGAGGGAGCCAGGCCTCCCCCTACCCCACCTCACCCCACCCCATCCCCTCATCACTCCTTCTCCTCTTCTCTTTTTTCATCGCTCCTCTACTATCTCTCTACTTTACTCTCTCGCACATACACTCTTTTTTCCCCTCTCTCGCATAAACGCAAACCCAAAGGCTGCATCTAGTAGGTAATGATGTAGCCCGCTAGATTTCCCGTGGAAAATTACCTACGAACTTGGCCACGGAATCAGGGTAAAAGCGTGCTTTCTCCTTTCTTTTCCTTCTTTTCTTTCTCTCTCTCTTTCTTTCTTTCTTTCTTTTTCTCTTTTTTTTTTCTTTCATTTTTTCCTTTTCTGTTCTCTTTCCTTTCTATCTTTTCTTTATTTCAATGGA